AAAGCCTACTGGGTATTGCATGATTAATGATAACAACACAGAACTATAGTTGCCAGGGATGCTATTTAAGAGTGCCCATGTTTCTGCTCAGTGGAAACTCATTTTCAGTTTCTCATCCAAGTGGGAAATAACTCTACCAAGATTGTTTAGCTCTTACCCAACACAGACATGGACATTAGCTACCAGCAGCCACGAAGCATTCAGGTTAGAGAGGTAGAACTGGGACCTTGAAACAGCTTTTCCTTGATTTAGCAAATTAGGTCTCACTACCTGTGTAATGAAGCAAAGAGGGAATAGCCCACCACAGATACTGGGACAAGAGTTATTTGGAAAATAAAAAGATACACATTTAGTAAGAACTCTTTCAGCATATACTGGTTGAGAGATTTCATAAGATTCTTGGTGAAAGGAATTAGAGACTCACTTAAATTTTAATCATCATTTATAGATGGGGGCATAGTAAATCATTCAATAAACCATACACAGCTCTCCAAGCATCTTTGTAAAATTATTTAAATAATTTACAAAACCATTCCTAACTAAAGGAATCCCTTAAGTATTGCTGTAACTGGACACCTGGACTGAATAAACTTGGTTTCATTATTCTAGTATCTATCTCAAATTGATTTATAAATGCTACCATATATGCCTCTCAAAGTTTATTCTCCACATAGTAGTAGTCAGAGATCTTATTGATGAGACTAAATGAGACTATCGCTCCTCTCTGAACAAAACCCAACAATGGTCTTATATGTTACTTAGAGTAAGTAAATCCTGAAGCTCCTTCCATGGCCTATAAGGAGCTAGATGAGCTTACCTGGAATTTTCTCTCTCTGACTCTGACTCATTGTGAAAGGGTATCATTCAGAAATGGGTAGCCAATGTTGTTGCTTAAGGAATGGCTACAAACATATTTTAGTGATAATATTTGAGATTGTTTAAAAAGCAAGATGATTATTTTCCTTAAATTCATTGCACCTACATCATTTCCAGATTTAATTTCTACATCATTTTACTTGTGAAGATTATAATTGCCATGTAGCTTCCCCATTATCCCTGTGACTACCTTCACAAACTATAGGTAGAGGCAGGGAAGTTAATGCAATAATTCTGTTTGTCTAAAAAGTGTGGCATCCATGATGAATTGAATTTAACACTAGTGGTACAAATTTAAATTTCATATTTGCATTAACATTGAATATTTGTTTTGTGAAACAGAACTCTGTAATTACTATTACAGAAAACCTCTGTTTAAACTGTTAATAAAAAACTAACAGAAGCATTGGGCTGTTTTATAGCCAATTTACCTGCAACCTTTCCCATGAAATTCAAGGATGGTCAGAATAATCTCAACAGACAATGAAACCTTTTTCTATAAATGTACATAATGTGATCTAATGTAAAAAATAATGTAACAAACAGTGGTGATTTATGAATTATTAAATATTCGTGATTCAGAATTCTTTTCAAGTGTGCCTGAATTGGGCAGGTGTTAGACTAGGAAGAATCATGCTTTGAGAACTCTCATATGTTTGTGATCATCTATGATAGATCCTATAATTTGAGGCTTGACTTAAATTTAATTCATTTTTATACTTCAACAGACATGCTTCCTGTCAGTTCTTACAAGATGACTCAAAGATCTTAAAGATAGGTTCACAAAACTTGTGTCATTTGAGTCAATCTGTAATCAATTAATTGTTATTCCATAAGCAAATGTGTAATCCATAGCACTCTAGGGTTAGGTTTACTACAGAAATGACACACAGAACAAACTAGGTCTGCTCAAAGAGGAACAGATGTGGGGTGGGCCAGCTGTCCCGACCTATGGACCTGCAGACCTGTGGCTACAGTACTGCCTGCTACATCTCAGGAGATGCAGACAGCCCCTGACCAAAATGTCCATTCTCTGCTACCCTGACATCTACAACACTTTTTCTTATAATGGGATTGGAATTTTGCCACATTCTAAAATGTTATTAGCTAACACACTATTCCATAGTTACAACTTTTTCTAATTAATGATGAAATGCAAAAGACCTATACATATGCAAACACACACACACACAAACACACACACACTCATATACGTTTTAATATATGAGGAGATATTATTCTGATCCTGTAATAGATCCAGTATAATTGGGGGTAAAATTAAAAATATATTGCACACATAAGAAAAAAACATTTAAAACATTTTTAAAAACTTTAGTAACGTGTAATGAAATACATTACTTCAATAGTCATCAGAACATTTAGTACTCTGAATGGTTGGTGCAATAAGCACAATTTCTTATATTGTTATGTCAAGGCCTGCTTTTACAAATAATACTTGACAGATGCTAAGTTAGAAAATAATGGGTTCAAACATTTCATACCTGTAAACTAGGTCAATGTGGTGTGCACATGAACCTTACTTTCTTGTGAGAATTTTTAAGTATCCAGGACAATGTTGTGAAAAAATGCTTACTGCATAGATGAGTAAATAAATAAATATGCAAAATGAAGTTGATTCTGTTGAAAAAAGGGAAATCTTTTCCTCATTTTCTTATACTTTCAATGGTTTCTTGAGTGTAAGGAAAACTACATTTAAGTATTCAAAATACATTAGTCTCTATAGTGATCAAATTTTTCAAGAGCTAATTAAACATTTGAACAATATGGTTAAAAAATTAAAAGAAAAATACATAAGGCAGTAAGTTGCAAGTCACTCCCTTTCTATATTCCTTCCTCCAGTTTTACCACATTTGCCAGTTTATTATTTAATTAATGGGTGTCTTTACATAGATATGTTTTTTGTACGTGTAACTGAATATGTAGTTTACTTTCTGATCACAGAAATAGTGGTATTTGATATACACTGCTTTTCCTTGTGATAGTTCCTTTTGTTAGGGATATTTCCATGTTGATATAGAAGTAATTGGCTTGCTATAGTTGTGATATATAGTAAGATGATCCCTACATGAAAATTAATTTTTTACACACAAATTATTTTCTTACTCAAAAGAAATACCTTCATCTGAGAACCAATTTGGGATACAGAAGCTGATGATTTAAAAAAATTTTAAGATTTACTACCAATCTCCTAGAAAATTACAATAATTTTAGACTTCATTTGCTGATTACCTATCTCTGAACCTGATTGTATGAAAAGAACATGCCTCAAAAATTTGTTTTTACAGAAATGTGTTGTTGCATCTTTAATACTTACAGCATGCCAAAACAGAGTAGGCACTCAGAACTTATTTGTTAAAATAATCAAAGGAATAATAAGACTAAAGAGTCAAAGAAATAACAACTAATTACAATCTGCATCTGTAGAATTCTAGAAGCTGTCATGTTTTTAAAAGCTGTAAAAAGCACTGCTCACTATATTTTCCCTGTAGGAATTCAAGCAAGAAAGTAAAAAACTAATGTGAAATCAAAAGAACTCCAGAGTGCCTTTGAAATATGATTCAGTTTCAAAATTCCTTCTTTGTTTCCTAATCAATATTACAATGGAGACCATGAAATAAAAACTAACATGATGTAATACAGTATTAAATTGGCAGGATAAACTATTAAATTACTTTATCTACATAATTCATAATAATAGCACAATCAACCCAAATACTGACTGCAATTATCAAAATACTGATCAGCGGACAAAACACAAAAGGGGACTATTTTTTAAAAAGTAATTTTTGTTTTAGTTGTAGATGGACACAATACCTTTATTTTATTTATGTATTTTTTATGTGGTGCTGAGAATTGAACCCAGTGCTTCACACATGCTAAGCAAGTGCTCTCCACTGAACCACAACCCAGCCCCAAAAAGGAACTATTTTAAAATTTTATTTATTTTTATGTGGTGCTAAGGATCAAATCCAGTCTCTCACACATGCCAGGTAAGTGCTTACTGCTGAGCTACAACCCTAGTCCAAAAGGAACTATTTTTAATTGGAAAATTATTCTTTCTTTTTCTTAGTAATACCTCTCTATTCAAAACTGCAATATTTTAAGGTTAGTAATTTTGGTAAAAATTTAAAAATACATAGACTACCTGGGAAGAAGCCAAATGATCTCATTTTAAAACTAATAAACCAAAAACTATCTAGCAATCTAACCTAAGAAACCAGTTCTTTAATTCCACTTCTAGAATTCTATCATAGACAAAGTCAAATAAAAAAACAGATATGAAAAACTATAATTTTAGTATAAAAATTTATGCCTAAATTAAACATCTAACAATAATAAAATGGATTATATATTTAAAACATGCATTAAAACAGATTCAATATGAAAGATAATTATGCTGAAAAACCTTAACAGTATGATTTAATTATGTTAACTTATACATAGCAAAAATTGGAAAGAAGTATACCAAAATATTTATATAATTGGTAGTATTGTTTATTGTCTTAATTTTATGCTATGCATTTTGACTGTTTTCAAAATTTTCAGTAACAAAATTAATATTACTTTATCATTGGAAAAAGAATTTCATAATGAAAAAGTAGTATTATAGTGTGACCACTTCTTGATCATTCTGTATTTCATCTGCTGTAATCATATGAATTCCATGAAGGCTTCTGAAGTAATGGATTGTGTTTGATCAAACTGAATAACATCATAGTACATTTTCAGTTTTGATCTGATGCATAAAATCACATTAAATAATGAAATTCAATATTAAACATGAGGAAATTAGGTGCTGATGGTAAGTTACATATAAATATTTTATAAGAGAAAAGTCTGCTAATTTTGGTAATTTATAAAGGGCTAATTAGATATTTACACAGTAACTAATTTTATCTGTATTATGTTAGGTACCCAAGTTATGATGATGATGATAATGGTGATGACGACGATGATGATGACAATATAAACAAATCCTACCTTTGCAGGTTCTTAGGATCTAAATTCTAGAATTCTGTAGAATTCATCCTAATAATCTAGGTAATAATTCATCTCCTGTAAGTAAAAAACAACAACAATATAATGGTGAAATTATTACTTACTGTGGTAGCACAATGAATATCTTTCCAGACTGTGGCTTCCCTGGAGAGATCAGAGACTTCAAACAAGTTATCAAGAATCACCTCGCCAATCATGTCATGTCTAGAAAATCTGTCAAAATCATATACACTGAAATGGAGTTTTCGGTTGCTTAGTTGATCATATGCTACTGGAAATTGAAAAGTTTCATCAAACAGAGGATTTAAAGTCTTTCTGTGTACACGGGTCTGAAATTTCTTTTTCCTATCCGGAAGAAGATACATCTTCACATAAGGGTCAGATGTTCCTGTGAAGTCTTTAGCAGGAAGATCTAGGGCTTTGATAATTTTGACAACTAGAAGTTCATTTTCATAATCATACTGCAGGGTAAAGTTAAGTTTCCCACAGGTTTTGACATCTTCTTTTCTGTTGCCCTCGGAGTCAACTGACTTCTGTTTGTACAGCTCTGGTTTTATCCTCCCAATGCTGGTGGTTGTTTCTCCTCTTTGTAAAACAGGTTCAGTGCCCATACTGTAATCAACACTGGACACTTGCATTTGCCTTGGTAGATGTCTCCTGAAGGAATTGTGGCTGTACACACACAAAACATATCATTTAGGCAGATCAAATTAATGACCATATTATAAAAAGGTACATAAACTCTCCTCACCAAGATATATTTATATATATCATATGAATTTAATATTTATATTATATTTAATATTTATATTAAATATAATATAAATTAATATATTATATTATATTTAATATTTATATTAAATATAATATAAATTAAATATAATATAAATATTTATATTATATTTAATATATATATCATATGAATTTAATTAATGAATATTTAAATCATTGATTCATACATGCACATTGATTTCCTAAATAGGAATTAAATTCATATGATATATATATTTAATTAAATTCATATGATATATATATATTATATACACACATATGTATATGTATATATATGTTTAAATAGACACACACACCAACACACACACACATGCATAAATACTTTTGAAAAGTGATATATGCAATATTCAAGAAGAAGCCTCCTCAAGTTCTAGAAACACCTGAAACTCACAGATATACATTTTATGAGGCTTTGAATTTGGTACTTTGAATAATAATAAGCGCATAAAGAAATGTGATTACCAACAAAATTCAATATTGCACAAAAATATGCTGTCAATCACCTGGGTGTATCTAGTGTAAACTTCATACAGATAAAGTATTCATATGACTGTTTTATTTCCATGTGGATGTTTGGGTCTCATAAATTTCATGTTTTAGTTGTTACAGTATTAAATATATATAGATTCACATGTCCTCATATGTTATTTCTAATACATAAAATAAATAATTGTATATTTACTTTTACAAAGAATATAATGTTGTGACAGACAAACTGAGTACATTTTCCTTTGTTCAACATAGATTGGCTTTAGAAGCTCTAAGGAAACAATAAAAGTAGAACTCTAGAATTTGGGGTCAAAATAACAGTTTTAAAAATTCTAACTGAATTTCCTTAATCACTATTACTATTCTTCTTGTCAAAATTTCCAGACTATTTAATACGTAAGCTTACTAATGTCTTCTAAATGTGATCTGCCTTAAGACCTGCTTCTCTTAACACCATAACTTACAGAATAAGCTATACTAATCCATTTGTCTCCTCCAGACTTAGTCCAAGGTCTTTTTTCTTGTCTCTCCTTGGTCTGTCCATCAGACTAATCATCTGTTCTTAGACTATAATTGTTGTCTTGAATCTGATAGTTCCACAGATATTTCCTAGCTACAATAATTTTAAATCCTATATCTCTAAGTCTTCCAATTTAGAAATCCAATGAATATTTCTAAACGGATGTATTAATTCTACCTAAACTCAAGCAAACTCATCTATTTCTCCCTTTTTCTCTGAAACCAGTTTTCTCTTTTAAAATCACTAACAGCACTAACATTTTTATGAGTCACTCATACTTGGAAACATGCAATGTGCTTTGATTCACCTTCCCTTCATCCATGAGATTTATTCAGTTTTCTAAATCTGTTGATCTCATATATTTATCCATCCCATTCCCTTTCCATTTCTGCTCAGTCCAAATCCTCATCACCATATCCTTGCTTTCCCCAGTAGTCTTCAGCATACTCTCAGGTAACTCACTTCAAAATCCTCTATTCACTTCTGTTGTCTATTGAGTCGAGTTCCACACCTTTATAACACTGATACTCAGGACATTGCTTAATGAATATTTAAATCATTGATTCATACATGCACATTGATTTCCTAAATAGGAATTAAAAACTTAGTGAACATCAAAAAACAAGGATGTTGAACCTAAAAAGGAGAGGAAAAAAACAGGGGCTAAGGGCAAAGATAGAATTAATGCTAACTGTCTGCTAATGCCTGAAGAACTTTCATGACAATAGGGATTTATGGAAGCCGTAGGTAGGCAAACTTCAGCTTCATAAAAGGAAGCATTTTAAAATATCTAGAGCTATCCAACATGATGAAGTAATGAACTTCTCCACACTGGGATAATTAAAACGGAGATTAGATGATGAAGAAAAGGATTTTTGCCTCAAGTGAGGTGCTAAACAGTTAGAGGTTGTATAACCCTGAATGGTTGTGTGATTCTGTCATTCTTTGGTTCTTTGATAATTTTATAGGTTTAAATATCCATGGTATTACCAAAATGGGATTTGTTAAAATCAGAAATATAGTCTGAGGTGTTGCCAATTTCATTCTCTTATATTTTCTTATTATCTGCAACTGAACTGAAATGATGAAGTTATTGAAACAACTCCATAAAAAAATTTTAGAGCTGTACTTCAACTTATTTAGCCTTTCTCTATAGTTCCTCTTATACAGATAAAGATAAACCAAAATGAGTTGTGAGAGTATGAACAACTCTTTGTCTGTTATTTGTATTAGTCACAGATTTCTCAAAAAAATTAAAGGAATTACAATTCAGTACATATACCGTAAATTGGGCTACATATTAAGACTGGTATAGTGGCAGAACTTTGCCAGAGGCAAACGTGAAAATATACTGTAGCATTTTCAAAAGATCTCCAACATCCTGCTTGGCTTTACCTGGAATAAGGAACTTGCAGATTGCTATTGCAATTATGTGGATGAAAAGACTTACAGAAAAAATGATATCACATCCAGCATCAGATCATGTGCTGAAGAATACAAGAAACAGAATGAGAGAAAATAATATCCAGTGATAATTAAGATAATATCAAAGGAGAATAATAAAAGACAGGAAAAAATTAATAAACTATCAGATTTTTTCACAGTTAAAAATTAAAATGCATCCTTGCTCTTTAGGTTTTTCTAGTAAAGACTAACAATGAGTACTTATGATTTGGCAGGTACAAGCTTAAATTCTTATCAACTCAGTTGATCCTCCTGTAACCCTATGAAGTACATACTATAGTGTTCTCTAATTTACATGTGAGGACCTGGGGCACAGAGGCATAATTTATTCAAAGTAGCACAGCTAGGCTGGTGCTCAAATTAAAATCTGACTGAGGGAGCCTGGGCCTAGTGGCCACACCCGTGACCACCATGCTCTACTATCATATTCCTAGTTATGCTGCCTAATTACATTATTTCAGGAATTAGTCATTCTACTAAGTAATCACATGAGATATTGAAAAATTATTTATATATGCTTTTATATAACTTTTTCACTTAAACATTATTTATAACATACTTATATAATCCAATCAGATCCAACGTTTATTTGGTTGAAATAGCTTGAGATGTATTTTTAGAGATGTTTTTCACTTCCTTGACTAGTTACCAAGAATTGAAAGGGAACAAAAATGTTCAATTTGTAAGTTAAATTATAATTAGACATTATGTAAAACATTCTTATAACGTTTACTGTTGTGGTACATCTTATAAAAAATTGACATATTTTGAAGTAGGGTCAAAGGAAAATGTGTTTACAATTTATACTATATTATATGTTAAAAATGGTCAAGTTAAAATTTGACTAAACTAAAAAATTGTTTGTATACAGAGAGATACACTAGGACTACTTTACCTCAAATGAGAGAATTAGCTACTAATTCTATTAATTAAAATCATACTGAACTTAAAATTCAATATTTTAGTTTCTATAACCAAGTATATAAGCAAAGTTTTTTTTACCAACTTAAATTTTGAAGTGCTGTTTCCTTAGATCTATCCCATTTTCATTTACTAGGCATGCCATGAAATGTAATTTGACCTTGAAATCTGCACAGGTATCTATAGGATCAGTAGCCTACACTGGACTTAGGAAAATGGTCAAAGAGAATACATGAAAATAATAATAACAATATATTGTGAGGTACTAAACTGATCTATTCTAATCTGGTTTGTGCAATGTTCCTAAAATATTTGAGATATTTTATTGAGTAATCAAATATTTCTGTTAAAATCACTTTTACCCATGCAATGAGATTCTGATTCTTATTTCTTATGGATTTATTCCCTAGTTCACACTCATACTCTTCAATGTAATAAAACTTAAATCTTCTATCCTTCCCTCAAAGATCAGAGATGTCTTCTTTATGCCCTGAATATGATTTTTTTTCAGGCTGTAAATCCTCTTCTAAAAGAAATCAAAGCCTCTTCTAACAGGAGTCAAAAACATAGTAACATTTTTGTTCTTGTAAACCATTGTCCTAATTACAGGGTAAATAGTGTATATTCTAAGTCACAGTTTAGCTAGTCAGTTAAGAAAAGCTTTAATTATTACAATGTTAAACTATTGCCATGACAACACAGATCTTTTTTTCTTCTTCTTTTTTAGAATGACAGTGATTAGTGGCTCACACAAATATCCAACTGGTGGAAGTGCAAGCCATTTGACTGTTACTAATCCCATTCTCATCCCTCAGATCTAGCAGAGTACCATCCAAACACTGGGGAGAGTGCTGAATTGGAATCTGACTGCAGTGTAGCTTCAGCTGCCCTGTGCAGAGGGGGTCATTTCACTTGGCTTGAGCTTAATTTTCTTCTTCTGCAAAACAGGCCTTTCATAGTTGTTGTGAAAGTAAAATGAAGTTATAGAGAACTTTGAAAACTGTAATCCTTTGTATTGATATTAATTATTATCATTAAAATTCAGGACACAAGGAACTGAAATTCAAATGCCATAATGAACTCTCTAGTTTTGACAAGCTCAAATTTTATCTTCCTATTTGGGGATGCAAGGATGGCACATACAAAGTTGTTCCTGTGTGAGCATGCCCTAGATTACTCCCCAACTTGTTTCTTAAAGTAAGTCTCTTTTCTCAAAGTGGGAACTGATATCCTCTTGTTCTTATTTACAACGTCTTTATCATCTAGTAAGTTAACCTGATTTTTTTTTTTTTGAGAAATCGAAGAGGAAAAGTAAAAATTTCTTTAGCAGCATTCTATTTGGTTCTTAAATATGTTTAAAAGAGATTCTTGTCTCTGATTAATGAAATTAGCATTGGAAATTATAATATATTTAAAATTATAGCCCATTTTATGGATAAGGAAGTTCAAATAGACTAAATCAAGTTTCTGATAAACAGAGTTTTCA